TTTTCAATAATGATTTATAACCTAGCACATTCTTCAAGATAAGCTCATGCTATGTACCAATGTTGGGTAACCTTTGCCTCCATGCAAGTTCAGTTGCATTGTACTAGACACAGCACAGGCTCCTCTGCCCCCCACAAGAGAGTTTTGTATAAATCGGAAGGTTTTCAAGGGAGAACAGTCAAGGTAATTAGGAGCTGAGAGAATTGATTTATGAGCTGAGATTAGAAAAGGTAAATGCATCTCGTTTGGCTAAACAACAAATAGAGCTAGTAAAAACAAAGAGAACCATTAGGCTTCCTACAGCCACAGCCAGGAGTTCCAGCCTGGCTCTGTAGTGCCTTTAAATCCATTCACAGTCTAGTGGGGAGGAGAGGAAGGAAGAGTGAGGAGGAGAAACAGAACAAGCAGAAGCAGAGGAAAGATAAGACTGCCCCTCTCCTTCTCTTCCTGCCCCTGGTGCAGGTAATTAGGACTGCCGAGCTTCTGGGTTCTTCATGTGCCTTTGAGTCACTGCCCCTGAGTTTCCATCGGCTGGAGGCTTCCTTGAGTGACCCTTTGACCATCACGTCTTGTTCTTGTTCTCGTTTTGTTTTTTTGAGACAGGGACTCGCTATGAGGCCCAATCTGGCCTTGAATTTGCCATCTTCCTGCCTCAGCTGCTGAGTGCTAGGATTACAGGCAGACACCACCATGCCTGGCCTTGACCATCACATCTTCAGTCAGTTCTGTCTACTTAATTTATGTATCTATCATGTACAAGTATGCATGTGCTGGGCCCATGTATGTATAATTTTTTATGAAAGTTATGTTTTTAATAGAAAATTTGGCAGATATTGAAAATAAAATTCAGCTAGAGGAAAATTAAAGTCACCTATAGTCATACTATCCAGAAGTCACTGCTGGAAATGTTCGTCTTGGCCCAGTACTGTCATGTGTTCATGATAAACATTGGTGTCCTGGAATATGTTATTGTGACTCATACCCCATCCTGCTTTTCTCTCCCCACTCTCAGCCAACCTCAGGATCCCTCCACCATCTCCTTCAGGGTCACTCCCACTTCTTTCTCTTAACTTTGATGGCTCTTCAGCAGACATACTACTTGTAAATATCACTGAGCGGACAAGTGCCCGAGCACCTCACACTGAACTCACCAGATGGTGCTCCTCCTCTGTCCACTCGGCTGCCATCTTCTCAATCATCCCAGTCAAATGTCATCAGGCTCTCCTTTGCCCTGCAAAGAACACTGCCCTGCCCCGACTGCCTCCTCTGGGCTCCACAGTTTTGTACAGTCCCTGTGGCTTAATGCTGAACTTCTGATTCTCCCCCTGGGCCTTCACCTCCTGGGTTCACTTTTCCTAGAAGCCAGGCTCTGGAGCCTGATGACTGGTTCTATCCTGTCTTTGTCCTGTGAGCTGTGAGACCATGGCCAAGTTATGTAAAGGGTCTCTGCTCAGTTTCCTTTTCTCTAAAATGTGACTAACACTACTGCAGAGATATCCAGAAATTAAAACACACCAAACATTGGAGTATTTCCTGACTCCAATAGGGAGTAAGTGCTCCCTATGGGTTAGATATTACCATAATTATTGGTGAATTCCACATGTATGTCTTACTCCTAATTTATATCCAAGCTTCCTCTGATCTCTGGGCCTTTTCCTGCTCTGAATTCCCAGTGGTTCTTTCTTTGTACTTCTGCTAGGAAGCTCAGTAATTTCTGCCTCCCTTTAGCAATGTCTAGACTACTATTTATTGTAGAAGCAGATTTGTGGCCTGTTATTTCAATCTATTTTATTACAATTATTCCTTACTCATAGTTCTGTCACACACACACACTATACATTTCTCAAGGGCAGAATCTTTGATTATTTGGGTGACCCTCCCCCTTGCTTCCTTCACTCCCTGTAATGACTGAATGTGAGACTCTTTTGATAATAATTTTATTAAGATGTAATTCACATGCAAAACAATTCAGTCATGTAAGTTGCACAGTTCAATGGTTCTTAATATATTCTGAGTTGCAGGGCTGGTGGAGTGGCTCAAGAGGTGCATCTGCCTAGTAAGAATGATCCCCTGAGTTCAAGTCCCAGTACCACAAAAAAAAAATCAGAATTGTGCAACCATGACCACAAACAAACAAACAAAAAAGCTTAACATACTCTGTAGCTACCATCCTTTACTTTCGCCATTCCTTCAGTCCCGAGCAACCACTATTCTGTTTGTGGTCTCTATGGCCTTGCCTCTTCTGCACATTTCATATAAATTGAATCATGATGCAATATGTGATCTTTTCTGACTGGATCCTTTCACTTAGCATCACGTTTTCATGTTAGTAATTTCATCCATGCTGCTGTATGTGCCAGCTCATTCCTTTTTATGGCCAAATACTATCCCATTGTGTAAGTATGCCATATTTTGTTTATCCATTCATCAGTTGATGGACATTTTGGGGTTGTTTCTCCTTTTTGGCTATTATATGAAAATACTCTCGACTATTTATGTATAAGTTTTTGTGTGAACATATTCTCACTTCTCTTGGATATATACTGAGGAGTAGAATTGCTAGGTCATGAGTTTCTAAGAAACTCCACACTGTGTCATTGTACATTCTTACCAGTTGTATACAGTTGATCTTCTGTATCTGGATTCTGCACCCATGGATTTAAAACAACTATGGATCAAAAATATTTTTAAAATTGCATCTGTGCTGAACATGTCCAGATTTTTTTCTTGTAATTCTTCCCTAAACAATACAGCAAAACAAATACTGCTTACACAGCACTTATACCATATGAGGTAGTGTAAGTAATCAAGAATGATTCAAGGTATACAGAAGGATGTACAGATTATACCAAATACTACATATTTAATATATAAGGGGCTTGAGTATTACAGATCTTGATATAATTGAGGGGTCCTGTAACCAATTTCCCATAAATAATGGGGAACAACTAAGTCTAGGTTCTTCACATCTCACATGTGGCAGACTTTTCATAGGGAAAGAATAGAAGGAATAGTTTTTCAAGTTTGATTTTCTAGTTTAGTAGATCTAGTAGTGTTACACCAGGGAGACACCTAAAGAGGAAGGTGAGAAGATTAATCTATATTCAAATAAAAATACAAAACCTGAGAAATTTGTTCTTGTCATTATACCAAGATGAATTTTTTTAGGAAATGCAAATATGTATTGTTCTGCATGAATAAGGCAATGTTATTTAAAGGTGGAGACCAAGTATAGATTTTGCAAAAAAGTGAGGCTTTTAAAGAACAAAAAGAATTGGAAAAGGGCCAAGTGACTTAAGGAAAAATAAAAATCTATTGAAGTAAGCAAGAAGAGGAGGTAGAATAGAGCTGGCATGCCTGGTAAGGTATGGAGCATTCAGTGTCTCTGGGAAGCAGTGTGGGGAGGATTTAGGGTTGTTGTTGGAGAGGCTGGGGCGCGGCCCCTCCTGTGTAGCCTCATGATTACATTTCAGGAAAGGAGATGAGATGATGCATGGAAAGTGGAAAAATTCCTAATTCTAAAAAAATGGTTCAAATGCTTATGAGATGTCATGAACTGAAGCTTGTAAAGCACTTGCCATGAGTCATCGTCTGCCCTAAACACCTTGTATACACCATCCGGGTTCCATCTTCTATGGCTCAGATGCAATTATCATCCTCGTTTTGCAGATGAGGAATCAAAGGCACACAGAGGTTAAGGATTTGGTCAGAGACTACAGCTAGTAAGTGTGAATCTCTTTGTGCTGCAGAACCAATGAGCCTCCAGGGTCCCTTCCCCAATCTTCAGTGTCACCATTCTTCCACATCTCTGTTTGTTTTCTTCACCTACATTGTTTGAGTACAACAATTAAAAGCACGTTAACCACGCTGTGAGTTTAGTTTAAGTGAAATCAATTAAATAACTAGCAAACAGCATTTGATTTAGCAATAGTTTTTAAATTAGCTATAATGTAATTCAATATGTCAGCAGGTGTATTGAGTTAAGGCACCATGCAGGGACTCACAGACCGGTTCAGAAGATTAAAGTTTATTCTGGAGACAGGAAGAAACATGAAGTTTTAAAAATTCTAGTTTTATCTCAGTTGACACTATATAACTACACAGGTATGGAGTATACCATGCTGTACGTATTCATTATGTACTGATAAAATCAGAACAACTAGCATATCTGTCACCTCAAACATCTATCATTTCTCTGTAGTGAGAACATTCAAAATCTTCTCTGCTAGCTATTTTGATATACATAATACATTACCATAAACTATGGTCACCCTACTCTGCAATTGAACACCAGAACCTATTCCTCCTATCTAGCGGTAGCTTTGTCCCCACTGACCAGCTTCTCCCCATCTCTCCTCTCATCTGTGATGTGGAAATATCTTCTGCAGTCAGGATCTGTATGGGGTAGGGTGCAAACAGAACTGGAGAGATAAGGACCAGTCAAGAATCTGTTAAAATAGTTCAGGTGAGAGATGAGAAGGATCTAAACTAAGCCCAGAGCAGTGGGGATGCATAGAAGGCACAGGTATAAACCAAAGAAAGATGAAGGAGTTACCAGTTGTTTTCAGAGGATGGAGGACAGATCCCGTATGCTTCCCAGGATTTGGGGTGGATCACAGAGCAGCTGGACATACAATTCACCAAGACAGAACCTAACAAAATGGATTTTTATGGTAGTGAATATAATTTCTTGAGAAGAAAAAACATTTGAATCTGTTCTACTTTTCAATTCTTTTTCCTTTACAGTCGTCCATGTTTACTTTGGGTCAAAGCCATTTTCATCTTCTCAGACTTACTCTTTTTGCAGAAACAACTGCAGCAGTTTTAATACTTGGAACTTTAATTCATGGGACTTTTATTATGGCCCTCTGGGTCTTTAAGCAGGCAGCATCTGGACTCATCAGGTTTACCCAAGTGCTTGCAAATGCACATGGTTTCGGTAAAAAATGACTGAACTAGAAATTGATGACTGACTTGTCGAAATCCTCTTGTGATTCCAGGCTGCTCTGGCCGGAGGCACCACCATGATCATTGATTTTGCCATTCCACAAAAAGGTGGCTCCCTCATTGAGGCCTTCGAGACCTGGCGAAGTTGGGCTGACCCCAAAGTCTGCTGTGACTACAGCCTGCACGTGGCAGTGACGTGGTGGAGTGACCAGGTAAGGCACCTGGGTTCTGGTTTGTTCCCTTCAGGCCTCTTGTGTTTGGTCTCTACAAGAGCAAGGAATTGTCTATGTTAAAAGACCAGAATCCATAGACATTGTTTGCTTCCAGGGCGACTGGAGAATTGGAGGGATGACTTCATTGCATGTGCTTTCATTCCCTTGGGATTCTGAGTCATATGAAAGATTATCAATTTAAAAACTAAATTAAAAATATCAGGTAAAGCCAATAAGATAAATCCTTTATGCTCACTCAACAGCTTCTCCTAATATTTAATCCATGAATTATAAATGCTTTATGTAACTTTGAAAGCACTGATTTCTCTTATTCTCAACCTCAACGTCCCCAGGATCTTTTAAACAGTATGGTCCTGCATGTTAGACCCTCGATTTGAAATGTTTAATTTTGGAAAAAAAAATCAAGGAAATTCTAAATTTAGAATTACTTCAAACTGGACAACTCCATTCCTACTCCTGACACCTTGCAAGGAAAGGGGACAGACCGGGACTATTTCCAAGGCCCTGTCCCAGTTGTGTCCTGACCAGGGGCTATTCCTCTATGCTCTGCCTGTATTGTCACTTAGTAATGGTTCACAGTAGAGCTCTAACCAAACCTTCCATGCCCACTGGACCATGGAAGAAATGGTAACTAGATTCAGAGAGAAAAGACAGTTTCAAGAGGTGTCAAAATACATTAATTTCCTGAGGGCGATCTAACCAATGTACAGTGTAAGGCTATTTGGAATTTTTACAATGAGTACCCTCTGTACAGTGAATATATCCTAATAAAAATGGAAAAATACATTAATTTCTCTGTATGTAAATTTGTATGTGTACTTGGAAGACACTGTTACTAAGGATTTAAATCACGGTTTATTTCTTCACCTTAGACTTCATTCAGAAATCTCTTTGCCAGAAAGTCTCACCATAATGATGACATTTTTTGAGTAACTTATGCTCCCACTTCCCCTCCAAAATTGGGCTTTAGACACCAAGTTAATATAAAACAGGTAATCAATCTTTAACAGAAAGTTCAGCAAATAGCAAGGTTTACAGTCCACAGCTCAAGTTGATTTTTCTCCAAAAATGCATGTAAGTGATGTATCTCTCCTCCCTCCTTCCCTTTCTTCCTTCCTCCCTCCTTCCTTTCCTTCCTTTTTTTCCAGATCACCTGGTAAATATTGTTAAAATATAGATTCTGCTTAGTTGCTGGAACTAAGTACCATAGACAGAATAGCTCAAACAACAGAAAGTTATTGTTCCACAGTTCTGAAAGTCAGAAGTCCAGTTTGTTGGCAGAATTGATTCCTTTCAAGGGCTCTGAGGGAAATCTGTTCCACTGCTTTCCCAAGATTCTGTGTGTGTGTGTGTGTGTGTGTGTTTTATTGGAGTTTGAACTCAGGGCTTTGCACATGTGAGGCAGGTGTCTACTGCTTGAGCCACACCTCCAGCTCCATTGCTGCAATCTTTTGTGTTCCTTGTTTTGCAAAGCACCACCCCAATCTCTGCTAAGGCCACCAATCACACAGATTAGCACCCACACCAATGACTTCATTAATTACATCTGCAGTGACCCTATTTCCAAATAAAGGGCAAAGACTTTAACATATGGATTTTTGAGGCACACAAGCCAATTTACAACAATAGGACAGTGTGGTTGCACTTTTTGATTAGTAAGTAACCCTTTTTCTTGTGTTTATTAGTCATTTGTATTTACTCCATGAATTGTTGGTAATATGTTCTCCTGGGTTGTTATAGTTTTTCTTATCAAGTTGGAAGGACCTTTATTAATTAAGAGCAATACTCCTATGCTTGCTACATTTTTGGTTATTTGCATGTGTGTTTTAACCTACAGAAGTTCAACTAGTTTTATTTGGTCACATCTACTGATGTTTCCCTTAAATATTTAATCCATTTTTAAGACTTGCGTTGGACCTGCAAAGGCAATTACTAAGCTAGTTTTGATCTTCACTTGCTCCTTACCCTCAGCAACCCTGAAAGTTCCCCTGAGAGCTTCTGTCTGCTCTCACTTCCTAAGAGCTGTGTGCACACCAGGCACACATGTGCTGAGCCTGGACTCATCTCCATCTTCCCCTCCTTCTCTCTCTACCAACACACCCTTCAGCTTTGCCATCCCAGCCCGAGCCCTTACCTCCCATAAGCTCCGATTCCTTCCAGATCTACTGTTGCTTCTGTTGCTGCTGTATGGTTTCACCTTCATTTTCTAGAATAATTTCTTCAAATAGGGAAATAGGTTCAGAGAATTTTATATCCAAGTATAGACAGGAAGTACTTTGGGGGAAATCTATTAACTTTCTCATGTTTGAAAATATCATAGCAGCAGCAATTTATCAGATGAAATAGGATGTGAAGCAGGAGGAAGACAAAGTCTTCATTTCATTTTTCTAGACCTAAACTGTTGTCTTTACTTGGTTCTATTCTGAATATAATTCTTTCGGAGAATGGTGAAATTACCATTTAAATTAAAGGGATTCCTGTTATTGTTTCTCTTTAGGTTAAAGAAGAAATGAAAGTCCTTGCTCGAGACAAAGGTGTCAACTCTTTCAAGATGTTTATGGCCTATAAAGATCTGTACATGGTGAGGGACACAGAGCTGTATGCTGCCTTCTCTCAGTGCAAGGAAATTGGAGCAATTGCTCAGGTGCATGCAGAAAATGGAGACTTAATTGCAGAGGTGAGCTTTTGTATCCCAACCCTTCTACAGAAATGAAAACCAGCATAACTTCAGGTGAAGACCCCTGGCCCTAAGAAGGTATATTCATGCAATGCATTGGATGGACACAAATCCAGACACTCATTTTTCTGAGACAAATACTGACTCAGTTTACTTGAGTCCCCCTGCTGCTGGTTTTATTTAGCTAGTGTGCACACATGAGTGAATGAGAATTTCCTCTTTTCAAACCAGCTACCTCTATTAGGCTTCAAACATGTGCTATTATAAAAACCCAAAGTTTTCTTTGTGTCCCTTGGCCCTGGTTTGTTTTTGTTTTTTTTTCAGTAGCTCAGCGTACGGGATCTGAAGGCTAAGTGTGGATACATCACTGTAATTGGATGACTTAAGCAGTAGGTTACATAGTGTTTAAAGCCCTGCTCTTTTCAGAAACTGGGTATTAGGACATGCTCAGAAGGACCCTAGATGATATTTATTTCTCGTTTTAGTTCCATTACTAATGCTGAAGGGTACACCATCTGCAAGATTTAAAGAGCTGTCTCTTACCCTTTATATTAGCTGATTTTTTTTTCTCCTCAGGCTTAGCTTCCATTAAAGTGAGGGAGACTGAGGCTCAGTGGCCAAGAGGCGGTGGGAATAATTGAAAAGAGAGCATGAACTGTAAAAATCAAACAGAGCAGGGTTTCACTTGACACTTCCGCTTCCTGGCTGCATGACATGGGCAAGTCATTTCACCCTCTGAGCCTTGACTTCCTGCCCTTTCATGTAAGGAAGAAATAAAAAGTAGAGACAGAGAAGTAACAGATGTAGTAGCGTTTAGTGGGTTGGACTGGGGAGCCAGGGAAAACTAGGATTTAATAAAAACATAGAAGTAATTCTGCAACATGTTACAATGAGCCACTTCAGAGAGGCTCTATATTGTTTTATTTTACTTATCTGAACTGATTATTAACTCTTAAATAATGGACATGGCTTGCCAAAGAATATCCTTAGAATTAATCTCCTATCTTTTCACCTGGTTAATCAACAGCATTTAATAATGAAATATGCATAGGAAAAACTAACATATGCTATGAGACTACTGAAATGACTTTTACCAAACAGGCACATTCTGTACACACACACAAACACACACGCACGTGACCTACTACACCTAACAGATCTAAACGTCCATCAGCACCTTTAATTTATAATAGACTAATGTATTTGTCGTTAGCAAACCTTCCTGCTGTCTTTTTAGGGAGCAAAGAAGATGCTGGCGTTGGGAATAACAGGCCCTGAAGGCCACGAGCTGTGCCGCCCAGAAGCAGTGGAGGCAGAGGCCACCCTGAGAGCTATCACCATAGCTGGCGCTGTGAACTGCCCGCTCTACATCGTGCACGTGATGAGTAAATCCGCGGCCAGGGTGATCGCAGACGCGAGGAGACATGGTAACTCCCAACAGACCCCCGATGACCACTAGGATTCTCTAGACCCCGCATCCTCTGTTTTTGCTTATGAGAAAACTACACGTGGATTTCCACATTTCTTCCTTCCTTTTTATCTGCACTTTTCTTTCTTCTTTCATCCGTATGTAGGTCTGTTTTTCTCTCCTTTCACTCATTCTTTGCTCTTCCTCCAGGCTCCTTTATTCTTATCCTTGAGACCTCAAAACTATTTCTTTTGCCTCATGACCCCATGCTCAACACCATAAGCAGTGCAGCTAATTTTAATTTTAAAGTTAACTCTAAAGAGTCTTCCATACCTCTCAGGCATCCCCACTCACCATCCTAGCACCTGAGTCAAGACAGAGCAGGACACACAGTACACACTCCAAAACGTTCTTTTGAATTGAATCAATTTGTTCGACTGCAACTTGGGGTGTTGGAACAATTAAAGAAATTATCAGAGTAGTATATTTTATGGTAATTATTTTAAGATTTTTAAAGCCAAAGTTATTTTTACTTCAAATGGACTAATGTCTCACTTCTTACTTCCATCTGGCATAAAAACAGTTATCCTAAAAGAAAGTGACAATCTCCCGTTCTTGCTAAGAGTTGGGCCAAGAAATAATTTCATTTATTTGCAAGTACTGGTGAAGGAAGGATGAAAAACAAATGCAGTGTATTTTATTCAGTGAAAATCAGAGACCCCTTTTTTGGGGGGCGGTGGTATTGGGGTTTGAACTCAGGGCTCTTTGCAAGAGCCATGCCTCCAGCCCCAGATATAAATCATCCTACCTGTTTTTCCCCCTGAAACTGGCTGTAATTTTATAATATGGATCATAAAAAAAAAAAACTATGAAAATAGATTTGGTATGTATGTAACTGGAACAAACATGAATTTTGTCAGACTTCCTTCTTGTTGCAAGAAGTTTCAGTAAGCACCCAGGCACAGTGACTCGCATCTGTAACTCCACATGCTTGGAAGGCAGAGATCAGGAGGATCTCAGTTCAAGGCCAGCCCATGCAACAAGTTAGTGAGCACCCCCACTCACAAGCAAGCTGGGCATGTTGCTATATACCTGTGGTCCTAACTGCTCTGGAAGGCATAAGAGGCTGCCTCAGGCAAAAAGCAAGACCCTATCTGAAAAATAACCTAAAGCAAAAAGGGCTAGAGGTGTGGCTCAAGTGGTAGAATGCCTGCCGGGCAAGCACAAGGCCCTGAGATCAAACCCTGGTTCTGCCAAAAAGCGAGGGAGGGAGGGAGGGAGGGAGAAGTTTCAGTAAGAATTTTGGGAGACATGCACTTTTTAGATGTAGCACATAAATATATTGTGTTATGAATAAAATTAATTTCACATAAGTGTTAATTAGGTCTTGCTACCAACTATTTGATTGCTTGCCTCTACACCCCACATGAAATAGAATTGCAGTATAAAACAGCAGCCCTTAAAAATACTGATTTTCAGTCATAGTATTAGGTTTTATCCACCAGATGGCGCTGTTGCCAGATGTATGGAATTGCTATGATTTCCTTTATAAGCAATGCACTAGGTAGGTCATAATGTCAGATTGTGATTTAAGGAAAGTAAAATCAGCAGAAATGACCACTCCTGACCTACCCACAAACCACTATCCTGACAGTTCTGTCAGAAAACAGTTTATTGACCATGGGTGTATATTTGGCACTGGATAGAATTCAAAGCAGAGTAAAGATTTGGGGAAGATTTTAAACTACAGATCACAGACAATTATTAAACTTAAGTATGAGAATTTTTATTGGATTTGAAATTAGTTTTAAAACTGAACTTTCTTCATGAATATGTAAATCATTTACATGATCCAAAAGTCCAAATTATATACAAAAAATGCTCAGGAATTCCTACTTTCTTCTCTAGCCCCTCCTTCTCACAGCCCATAAGTAATTATTTTATTAATTGATTTCTGGCTTATATATACAGTTTATTTTTACAAAATAAAATATATGTATACTCTGTTCTCCCTTTCTTTCCTATATAAAAAGCATCACCCTATACATACCATTTCAGACCTTGCTTTTTTTCCCCCCACTTCATAATATGACCTGAAAGTGAGCTCACATAATGTGCAGAGATTTTTCTCAATGTCTTTTACAGGTGCAGAGTATGTCACTGTATTTATTCAATTAGTCCCCTTTTGGTGGACACTTGGGCTGTTTCCAGTCTTTAGCCATTACAAATAAAATCACAGTGCTGGCTGTATGCATCTGCTATTTCTTATTTGTGCAAGGCATACTACTTTTATATGACTGTAATAAATTACCACGAACTTAGTGGCTTAAAACAACATGAACTTGTTATCTTACAATTCTAGAAGTCAGAAGTCTAAAATAGATCTCACTGGGTTAGCATATAGGGCCGTGTCTAGAGTATCTGGGGACAATCCCTTCCCAGCATCCACAGATTACCACATTCCTTGGCTCATGGTCTCTTCTTTCATCTTCAAAGCCAGCAGCGGTGGGTTGATCCCTTCTCATGTCCCATTATTCTGACCGCCTCTTGTGTCCCTCTCTTCCACTTTAAGGATCCTTGGGTTACACTGAGCCCACTCCATTAATTCAGGATGCTCTCACTATCTCAACGCCCTTAATTTAGTCACATCTGTAAGATTCCTTTTGCCCCATATGGAACATGGTCACAGACTATGGAGATTCGGATATGGACATCTTTAGCGTCCATTATTCTCCCTAATTCAAAAGGAATCAAGGTAGATTCCTAGACGTGGAATTACTGTTAAAGGTTAAGTGCATATGAAGAGTTTTAGATATTGCTAAATTCCTTCCCAAAGGCATTATGGCCAGGCTGTGGCTCAAATGGTAGCATGCTTGCCTGGAAAGCTAGAGACCCTGAGTTTAAACCCCCACACTGCCCAAAAAAATCATATCCAAATGCATTGTGAATATGGAATATTAAGAATGTTATCCCAAATGTTCTAGTAAGTCAGACTTATGAAAATACCCTTGTGAAATACCCCATTTGGGAAAATACCCCAATGCTCAATTGTCCAAGAAGCAGCAGAGCTCCAGAATAAATCAACAGGAGAAATTTCTCACCCTTTGCCTGTGACCCTCACATGTGAGCAAGGCATGTGACCAAGCAGGGACCAGAGGGAGATGGACATAACAGCACCAAACTGTCCCCTTGGTGACTGCCTCACAAACCCAAGGACAGACCCTGGACTGACCTTCAATGAGAGATTCCACCACCTATCTGCACTCATTTATTTTTAAATACCATTTCCAAACACAAAAGAATAATACAGCCCTATCAATTGTTATCTTGAAGAAATAATTCAGCCTTGTAGATTTATAATGTGAACATTTCCCATCTGTTAATTCTGCTGTCAGCCCCTCTCTCTTGCAGGGCCTGTACACTCCCTGTGGGTTGCTAGAATGCAGGGTTGGCATTTCCTGGGAGTTTGTTAGACATGCAGGGCCTTGGCCCCCATCCCAGACCCACTGAATCTGAATATGCATTTACAACTGGAGTCCCAGGTGATTCATATGCTTATACAGAATCCCTGCTCAGGACACACAATGATATCCAGTTATTGATTGCTTCAATTATAGGTGCCTGGAAATACAATCCTATTAAATTCGATTTTATTGTTTCATTGCCAACTATACACCCCGAAGAGAGGGAGCACAACTAGCATTGTTTGTTGAATGCTTAATATGTGCCTGGCACCTGGTAGTGTTTTAATATCTTTTATCTTATTTCACGTTTTACTCTATATTTTCTCATCATATATTTTAATATATTATCTTTAAAAAATTGTCAGAATAATCCTTAAAGCATAATTTTAGTACTGTTTTGTGACTGATGAAACTGAGGCTTGAAGAAGATTGGTAAATTTAGCCCAAGATCACTTTATCAAGAAATGCTGAATCTAGAATTCAAACTCAAGTCCATTGGACTCAAAGCCAAATTTTTTCTGTTACTCTTTACCCTGTTCTATGAGAAGTTGGTCTAGAATTGGAAATATGGATATCAAGTTTCTATTTGATTTTGGATTTTAAAAATTAGCTGATTTTTTGTTTTTATAATTACATTTTAAATTTTATTGAAGATATTGACATCTTGATTTTTTTTAATCATTACTGAAAGAGTGGAAATTCCAGGAATCGAAATGATAAAGTATTCAAATGAAAGTAACCTCTCACCTCTCTCAGTCCTTTCTTTGGAGCCAATGGTTTTAACCCTATCTTCTTCAGCTTTGGATGGTTACCTCCAAAATTCTAGACTACAGCATGTAGGTGGTGAGTTATCATTTTTGGCAATATCACTTGTCTTTCAGCTATGAAAAATGAGCAATTTTGTTCATGTAAATCTTACTTCTCACTTCGTGAGTTTTGTTAGTAATAACTGCCACTTCAAATAGTATGTTGAAATTTCTGTGCCTAGGCTGTTGTTTTTAGTGGTTTCTATTCCTTCGGTACCAGGCCAGTAAAGGAAATTTAGAGCCCTGTCTGCCTTCTGACACCTGTTCACTGTTTTATTTCTTTGCATGGACAGCGTTCACAGCATTTTCTTCCTTTCCAGGCTTCTGTAACTTCCATACTTTGTCTGTAGGTTAAGTCTAAAATTTAGAGCTGTCACACCATAAGATTGTGGTTGCATTCTTCTCTGTAGAAACAATTAGTGAGAATAGAATGTCAGAGAGATTAGTATCACAAAGTGCAGTGTAAATTAGCGTTGTTCAGATTAGCTCATGGAGAAGCAATTTCAAGTGTCAGAGTCAAGTGGGCTTCTTTCATTACAAAAAGGTTCAAAAGCACACCCAATTTTAGCTGATACATATTTAGACTGTTACTGTCTTGTGCAGTTTCTTGATTTTCCTGGAATTTTTTCAGCTAGCTTTTTTTTTTTTTTTTTTTTTGCAGTACTGGGTTTTGAACTCAGGGCCTACATCTTGAGTCACTCCACCTACCCTTTTTTGTGATGGGTTTTTTCAAGATAGGGTCTCACAAA